ATATATATATATATATATATATATATATATATATATATATATATATATATATATATATATATATATATAAAGCGTACCTATCACCCACTCGTCTCTGTCTATTCCAGTCTTACTCTTATCCTCCTTTCTTCCCTCGACTACTCTGACATACATTTGAATGTGTGTGTGTGAGATGCATCCCCTCCCCGGGGATGCATCCATTGATTAATTAAGACAAGCGGGTTAGGGATAGTGGGAGGGAGGGAGGGAGAGGGGGTAGTAGTAGTAGTAGTAGTCGTTAAGGGGGGAAGGGGTAACTTTGCTGAAGGACCATCAACACAACATTCAAGTTCTGGCCGATGGGAGCGTCTCGCCAAGTTGGTAATGACTTGACACACCATAATTAAGGAGTTAGCGAGGAAAAGAAATATTTGCTCTCGAGTGCTTTTGTGTGCCTTGGGGCGTCCTTGTGGGCGTGGAGAGAGAGAGAGAGAGAGAGAGAGAGAGAGAGAGAGAGAGAGAGAACAATGACTGGGAATAAACGAATTGCGATTAAAAAAAAAAGGCAGTTAAAATACCCATCTTTGAATCATGATGGAAGAAAATAAGAAATCGGGCATCGGAAAAAAATGGTAGAATCAGGGGAGAAAAAAGAAATTCGGAAAGAAGCAGCAGAATGAGAAACAAAACAGCATCTAGTAACTGAGGAAAATGATCCCACTATTGATGGCAAGAGTAAAGTAGCGCAATGAGATGATTGATGGGAAGGACTACACAGCGTACGAAATGTGTTATGTCTGGAGAATATAACTAATATAGCTACTGCAGGATTATAATGGGGAAGAAAATGGGATGTGTGAATGTCTTTGGCGGAGATTCATTTCTTCGGTGGATCTGAGTGGAAATTAACTCGAAACTAAGTCTTGAGGCGTGAAGGTGAGGAGAGAGAGGGAGGAGGAGGAGCGGAATGTGAGGGGGAAGAGGGGAAAGGAGGGAGGCAGGAGGAGAGACAGAATTGGTGAGAGAGAAAGTTGCGAAAGACTTTAAAAAAGAGGGTACAAAGAAAGGCTGGATAAGTGACGAAGTGGTGAGAAGGAAGGGGAAAGGGAGAGGATAAGAGGTGAGGATGAGGGGGAAGCGGAAAGGGTGGGATTAGGAGAAGGAGAGAACGGGAAGGGTAGAGCTAAAAAAAAAAGGTGTAACGGAAAGTGGTATTACACACCCGTCACACTTTTGTATCATCGTTTGCAGATGACACTAAAATAAGCATGAAAGTCACTACGGTAGAGGACACTGAAAAATTACAGGAAGACATAAACAGAGTTTTCCAGTGGGCAGTGGAGAACAGCATGACGTTCACTGGTGATAAGTTCCAGCTGCTTAGGTATGGAAAGAATGAAGAACTTAAAAGGAACACTGTATACAAAGCTCAAGATATGAGAGATATGGGAGGAAGTGCAAAATAAACCCAGTGAGCAGCAGGGGTGCGGTGGGCACAAGAAGGGAACACTGTATCAATATCCGGGGTCCCAGACTATTCAATATCTTACCCAAAGATACCAGAAATACGGCTGGAACAAGTGTAGAAGCCTTCAAGGGGAAACTGGACAAGTATCTTCACCAGGTGCCAGATCAATCAGGCTGTGATGAATATGTGGGGCAGCGGACCTCTAGCAGAAACAGCCTGTTTGACCAGGCAAGCACCAGACGAGCCTGGCCCATGGCCGGGCTTCGAGAGTAGTGAAACTCTCGAAACTCTTCAAAGGTGTATCAAATGTATATCACACTTGTCTCTCAATAATTCCATCAGAGTGTGTATAACTTGTTGACGTAAAAATGACCCATAAAAAGCCCCACTAGTCACACATATGTAAGACTGATCCTTGAGTATGCCATTCCAGCGTTTAACTCCCACCTAGCAAAACGAGAGCCAGAGAGAGAGAGAGAGAGAGAGAGAGAGAGAAGAGAGAGAGAGAGAGAGAGAGAGAGAGAGAGAGAGAGAGAGAGAGAGAGAGGCAGGATCGTCACAGGCTGGTAAAACTGAGCTACATAAATCTGTGAAAAAAACTGAAGGAATGTGACCTCATGTCTCTGGAAGAGCATAGATTAAGTGCAGTCATGTTCACGTTGTAAAATACGCTTAATTAAGACAGATAAGGCGGAGAAGGTCGAACCATTCAGCGAAAGATATACTTTGAAGATTCAAACGAGTCAAAGAGGCGTTAGGGCAATGGAGAAGTGTAGTGAACTAAGGAAGGGTACACATGTAGTGAGACAAGCTGCAGAATGAACTTTCATTCGAACAGCTTTACGCTATGTATAGAGCTCTACCACGATTTAATAAAAATCTTTACAGAGCGAATCGTTGTCCCAGTAAAAGCTTTAAATTATGCATCTTACTTGAAGCGTGATTATAGTATACAAGATACTTAGAGGAAGAGATTTGAGTGGATAGAAATAAGATGTCCTGGAACATAAGACTGAAATATGATATCCTGGAACATAAGACTGAAATATGATA